ACACTTGAGACGATGCGTTGATATCGTGAGTTTAGAGTCTTTGGTGTGTGTCGTGAGCCATGTATGGCAATAATCGGGGAAATACCGATGTACCTAACATCATACGGGGCGGTGCAGTGAGATCCGCGTGTTACTCATATGATATGAAGGAAATAAGCTAATCGTACGTTATTAACCCACAACTAGACGTCACAATAATAAATTGTTAAGAGAACTGTATGACTAACTCCATTTTCACAAAGATAGAGTAATCCACTCAAACGCAAAGAATACTTTATAGCAAACTTCAATAAATATATCTGATTAAAAATACCAAAAAAGATAAATCAGATTACGTCTTTCCATTATTACAATATATCAAAAATATTCCATAAAAATTTGAAAAAAGTAAATCACGATCGATCATCTTTTTCGTTTTGGGCATCTATAAAGATGATGAAGTCTGAACCTCCATCTTTTTATGCTTCACATTTTCTCGTAGGCTTTCAAGATTTTCTTTTAAAGCAACTAATTCCTTGAAATTTAAATCTTTGATCTTTTTCTTCCCATAATTTTAACAGGCTATTGTAATATGTTTTCCAAAACCTATAATATATTATCAATAAATGTTTTAAAGGCATAATAAAAAGAAGATAAAACATACAGAGAATCATGAATTTTATTTTCAAACCATAGTTTTCTCATGGATTGACAATGGATAATATGATAAATCAGTGCTACCTCGAATTAAAGATTTCAATGTTACGATCTACTGCTAAGATCTCATTCAAATTTCTAGATTTAATTTTTTGTAAATTTTTTTTAAGATCGTCAACATTATTTTGATTAACTAAATAATAATTCAAGATAAAAAAATACTTTTCCACGCTCTTTCTCCTGTTCTAGTTCTTTCATTAGACGATCGAGTGTGGCTTAAAGCTTATGAATCATAACTTGACTATTTTGAACCACAATGTTCGCCTCAGTCTCTTTATCACCTATTTTTTCAACCCCTGGATTTTTTTTTTGGTATTGTTGTTATTGTTTTTCTTCTCGTTACTAATGCACATTATTTTTCTAGATGTATTTGGTCAAATGAGTTAAGAGCACTAATATAATACTTTATTATATTGGCATATTTTTCAAAACAATATTTGAAATTTAACCTATTATTCTATTTTTCGTGGGTTTTGACACGTGTCGCAAGATCGAAATAGATTTAAGTCGGGGAATATGAACCGTCGTGGCAATGATGGCTTTTCCGGAAAACCATTCCATATTTTTGTATAGAAGGAGGTGCGGGCTCTCATTTCTTTTTCTTCACTTCTCGCAAAAATCTCCAAATAAGGTTCGCTCTCCCTTCTCTCTTCTTTCTCTCTCTATATTTTTGCTTTCTCGTTGTTTCTGTAATTGTTGTGTAGATCGTACCGCCGGTATAGTCTCGATTCTTGATAGCCCTGGGCTATTCATTTAGAATCAGGTTGGGTATATTTAGATAGTCGAAGATGAGCCCTCGTAGATCGTCCAAAGGAAAGGAGAAAGCTGTATCGCTTGATGAGTCGGAGGCCAGTGTCAGCTCGGGATCGGACAAGTTGGGTCAGATGTTCGCACGTGCACTCGGGGTAAATTATGAAGAGATGAAAAGGGATCAACAAGAACATGCGACGGCTATATACAGTTTTTAGGAAGCGCAACTATATACAGTTTTCTGTGATGAAGCTGGACCATCGAGAAGCACGGGTGGTTATTGAGGTACTCGAGCTTCGGGACAAACCCGACGAAGTCGGAAGCGCCAACGTCTGTCTGATCGGGATGAGGCCAATATCAAAAAGGAGCAGGATAGCTTTAATGAGATAGAAGAGTTTGGGGAGAACGGGATTCTCGATCGACACACCCCGTTCTCAGTTAAGAGTTTGAGGCGATTGAAGAAGAATGAACAGGGGTCCGATAATTCCTTCAGTGTGATCCCGACCCGCACTACATGGAGGTCATTAAATCAGTTGAAGCAAGTTTGTGGGATAAGTCCCGACGTGCGATTCATGGTTCCGATCCTGTGCAGCAACCTTGGGATGCTCCCTCGGGCTATATATGTTTATTCGAACACTTCTACATATACTACCATCTTTGGTTTTCATTGCCCCATGTTATTTTGGAGTATTGCGCTAGGAGGGGAATGCCGGTCTTGCAGACTACGCACGCCACCGTTCATCATGTAGTAAGCTTGATAGTACTGGCTCAGGAGAACGGGCTTACCTTCAACACTGGTATCTTCGAGGAGATGACTGATATAAAGCCCCAAGGGGTAAGTACACGGAACAGGGGTTCGTTTTATATGAGTACGAATAGGGGGCTGAATATTGTCACCGAGAGAGCGTCGATGAAGGTCGACGATTGGTGGGATTGTTATTTTTTTTTTCCTGATTGATGAGAACACCATAGCAAATCCAGATGTCCCGATCCTTGCTGAATGGGCAGCTGTGATCGGTAGATAGTCGATCATCAGCTATAGAGTGACAAAAAATTTCTTCCTGTGCTGACTTTTTTTTTTTTTTTTTTTTTTTTTGCAGATAGACCAGCTACCTCGATCAAGGGTCCAGCGAAGGATTTCTTTAACAAACAGAGAGTCTCCCGAGCTATAGGTTCGTTCTGACATTGATAGTCCGATGAGCAATCTGCTTCCCGAGCTAACTTGAATCTGCTTTTGATAGGTCCTTCTCGACGCAAATCAAGGAAGATGCCGCTCAAGCCAAGGATTTTTCCAATGAGTTAGAGGACTCTTTGATGGCTTCAAGCGTGAAGAGAGCCAAACACAGGTCGGGAGAAATGTCTGCTCCGGATGTGAATATTCCCGAGGTGAACGGTCCCTCTGTAGACAGTCCTGTCTAAACTCCAGCTCGGGAGGATGCTCTGGTGGAGGATATCCCGGACTCTGGTACCGCAGTGCAAGAATCCGTCAATGATTTACCCCATGAGGCTGATAAAGAAGCCACTTTGGTCGCTGTTAAAAAGACTTTGAAGCAGAAGAGGGCTGAGAAGAAAAAAGCCAACGCCACGAAGGAAGCGACCCGTGCTGGGGATATGTTGGAAGCCGGTCCTAGAGAACCGTCTCCTGTTTAAATCGAGGATTCCGTGGTGGGAGATACGACTCGGAATGCCAGGCTAACCGAGCAGGTGCCCACAAGGAAAAACGGGATAGAACCTGCCGCCAAGAAACAAAAGCCTACATCTGTCCCGAACAAACATGCCTTCTGCTTTGAGTTCCGAGGCAAAAGGCCGATCCACCTGGATGACACGTCCAGTGCCAAACTAAGATGGGCGATGAGGGGGAATCCTTACAGCTCGATCGAGATGGATGACCTCCGCTGAAGTCCGGGTAAGCTATTGACTTTGACACCCGTGATTTCTCACTTTCGTACTTGGTAATTAAATGCTTATATTCCTTTTCAGGCTGCGAATATCAGTACTGAAGTGGTTGAGCAGTACGGTCGTGCTCTGAAGAAGAGTCGTCTGAATGAGGTGGCATTGAGCAATGCTATTGAGGCCGATCAGCAGGAGATGACCAGGCTGAAAGCCAAAATCGATAATTTCCAACTCCTGTTAAAGTCCAAGTAGGAAGAGAACAGATCTCTCACATTCGAGCTGGCTTTGATTTTGAGGAAGTTCGATTCAGAGAGAGAGACTCTCATAAAGAGTCGAGATGATTGGGGCCATTTGGTGGCAGCTCAAATGCGCAGCTCGATACCGAGTCATTACACCGAGTTGATTAAGAAGATAAAGGCGTACATTGCCCAACCTGAGGGGGTGGATACGAATGTGACCTCTCGTGCTCAACTTGAAGGACAGCTTGCTGCCATCAAGGTTCTTGAGCGGAGTGGTTTTGCGCTTCCTCCGGAAGTAATTGGGAATATAGAGGTGGACCTCGCGGATTTGAACGTCCAGGCCGACATGTACAATGAGATAAAACTTGTCGACGATGATTTTGAGGTGTCCGGCCTTGCTCTGGAGTTTCCACGAGATCATCCTTCAGTCAGTCTTCTGGGAGATGAACATGACTCGAACAAAGGAAAGTTGACCCCGGAAATTATCGAAAAGCTCAAGGACACTCCCGCGTTAGAGTTGGAAGGCAACAGGGCGGTTGCCTTAGTGCCAGTGGCTGAATCGAGAGCGGGTTGGCGAAAGAGGCAGATGAGCCGAACCTAAGAGAAGTGGAAGGCCGTGCTGAAGCGGAGGACAGAGAGATTAAAGGGGGGGTTATTGGGAGATGGAATTATAAAATTTTGATTGATTTTAAGAGTTGAGAGATTTGTTAAATTTGTTAAAAAGATTTGTTGAATTTGGAAAGAGTTTGTTTATTTAAAAAATCTATTTAAGTATTTCATTATAATGACTTTGAGAATCTAAGCTATATAGATAATATTTTGAAAGTCATCCAAAATCTTGTTCTATGTGTTAAATTGTTTAAAATTCATATCTCAATAACACAAAATTTTAATAGAATTATAAAACCTTTAAAAGCCAAACTTTTTGAATAACAAAGGATTTTGGATAGAATTTAAAAATCTTTAAACCAATAACAACGGATTCTAGTAAAATTTTAAGAATCAATAAACAAATAATGATGAAATCTCGAAATTCTCAAAATATATATAAATACCTCTCAATAGCCCCCCAAAAAATCCTGAGGCGTGATTTTTGTTTTTACATTCTTGTTGTTGACTTCTACCTGTGCTGCAGGGTTTATGTATGACTTTTGGTTATTATTTTTGCTGTTTTAATAAATTGATAAATTGATGATGTCTGGAATGATACCTTTCATATCTGCGATGGACGAGACGAAGCTATACGTTCTTGTGGAGAAAAGCAATGAAATCGTCGCGCATGCCAGGCAGGAGCTCTGTTCCGATCCTGATGCATCGTTCCTGAGACTGTCTTGATGATTTCCGTAATAGAGAAAACATCATTTGTGTGGAATCATGTTTTGTGAGTTTTTTTTTAAGGTTGTTTACGTTTTTTTTGCGGAAATGAGGGTCAGTTTGCAATAAATGGGTTAATCTGAGGGTTTTTGTGCAAACTTCCTTAACTCAATACTAAATTGTTAAAAACGACGGCTGTTTCAAACCCTTCACCGCCGTTTGTTGTTGATCCTCCTCGCCGCCTCCTTCTCTCTCTCTCTCAAAATCGCACATCCTATAGAACAACTGGATTGTTCCGAAAGTAAGCTTCTTTGATTTACCTCTTAGAGCATTCCTTATCTGTTCTAAGCTTCTTTTTTTTTGCCCTTTTCTAAGGTTTTCATCGATATTTGATAAACCCTAGCCGTTTAACCTGAGATTAGTCAGTATATAATCGGAATCCGTCGCATAGTTCTGACACTCTCTCAAAATCGAACTTTGCTGCAGAGAAGGATGGTGTCTGAAGAAGAAAAGATATTCGCGAAGAATTTCAGTATCGAGAATCTCCCCGACGTCCCTGCCGGACTTCCTCCGCATCTCAAACTCAAGAAAAATCGCGCCGCCTCTAAAACTCAAGCTCCTGTTGATGTATGAACTTTTTCTGGCTTTACTTTCAAAGTTACCCTTTTGTTCTGTATTATTGCTTGTAAGCTCAGCTTATTGAAGAAAATTATTGGGGTTTCCTCAAATATTATGTCTGGGTTAGAGTTTAATCGAGATTGTGTTCATGGGTTTCTTGTAAAGTTCAGTTTTTTGTTTCTTATCTGTAAAAAAGCCTGTGAATTTGTGAGTTTGGTGTTAGCTTTGTTTCGAAATTCAAATGATATGTGTGAAATTTCAAGTCTTTAATCTTGTTCTTGCCCTTGTGTTTGTGTGTTTCCTGTGGACTCAGGGTATCATTTACTCGGCTAACAATGTCTCTATGGGAGCAGAAGATAGTGTGAAACTAGATAACTTCAATGAGAATTTTAAAGTCGATGTGATAAGTTGCACAGAGACAGATATGGAGTTTGATATGATCGGTATCGATGCTGCCTTTGCGAATGCGTTCCGAAGAATCCTTATAGCTGAGGTCTGTACTACTGTCTGACACAGCCTCTTGAATCCTTTGATTACTAGAAATCTTTTGTTCTAAAAAGTGTTATCCTTTGTTGCAGGTTCCTACAATGGCTATTGAGAAAGTACTTATAGCATACAACACATCGGTTATTATAGACGAAGTTCTTGCTCACAGGATTGGTCTTATTCCTATTGCCGCAGATCCAAGACTCTTTGAATATATATCCGGTAAGGAAAATTTTCAATACCATGTGAATCCATCTCCACAGACAAATATCTTTTTTTCTTCGTGTCAGCTTTAATTATTTTGTCTCTTGTGTCATAGGAAATGATCAGCCGAATGAAAAGAACACCATTGTTTTCAAACTGCATGTGAAATGTCCAGAAAGACAACCACGTCTTAGTGGTAAATATATGTTCTTTAGAAGATTTCATTGCTTGAATTGTCAGCTTGATCTCTCATGAAAGGGTGTCGTGTTTTGTAGTTTTGACGGACGAATTGAAATGGTTACCAAACGGAAGTGAGTTTCTCAAAGAATCAGGAGGTTCAACCTCATCAAAGCCAAAAACTTACACTTCATTCAGCTGTAGCCAAGACTCTTTACCTGAATTCGCGAGTAATCCTATCACTCCGAGCCACCTCGATATCTTGATAGCTAAACTCAGCCCTGGTCAGGTACTGTTTCTATGTATTCTCTTCTTCTTAATTGGTAAAACTCTTACTTACGATGAGAGAGATGATGAACCAAAACACTTGCCTCTTTGTAGGAAATCGAGCTCGAAGCTCATGCGGTTAAGGGCATTGGTAAAACACATGCAAAGTGGTCTCCAGTAGGGACGGCTTGGTACCGAATGCTTCCTGAGGTGAGAAGTTTATACCTCAATGCTTTATTTGAAAAAGCTCTCTGTTTTTTTTCTTTATTGCTACATAATGCTTTTGTCTTATACTAATCTTAGGTGGTTCTACGAGGGGAAGTTGAGGATGAGAATGCTGAACGGCTCGTAAAAGCCTGTCCACAGAATGTTTTTGACATTGAAGACATGGGCAATGGTAAAGTTTAAAGCCTTTTGAAGTATCTTCAAACCTTCTTATTTGCTTTTTTGAGTAACAAAAGGATATTTATGATGAAACTTGGCTGCACAAATTTGATTTCAATACTGACAGGTAGGAAAAGGGCTACAGTAGCGCAGTCTCGTAATTGCACGATGTGTAAGGAATGCATAAGAGACCATGACTTGGTAGATCTGGTGGATCTGCGCACTGTTAAGGACCATTTTATATGTAAGAAGAGAAAAGAAGAAAACATTCTTTTAATTCGGCAAGATCTCCTATTTGCAAGAAAGGCTAATGGAGTTTGTTGTTTTATTTGTGTTTTTCTCAGTTAAAATTGAGTCAACTGGATCACTGCCTCCGGATGTTCTTTTCACTGAAGCTGTGAAGATATTGGAAGATAAATGTGAACGTGTGATCGCTGATCTCTCCTGAAGAGAGTTTTGATTGGTTTAGCTCTACTGGCATGGTTCCGGTTTAGTTCAATTTTGTGTTTTGTATCAAAGTTTATCCTTATTAAGACGAAGAACGTTGAATTTAAATTATACTTTGTAGTTTTGGTTGAATTTGAATTTCAATTATCTCGATTCGATAACAGCTAAAAACAAAGTTACTAGCTGTTTCAGCTTTGGAAATTTGTCTCCGTTAATTCGTTTCAAATCCATTAATAAGAAGGAAAATAAAATCGGTAGAACAAGAAAAAAAAAAAAGATTGCGGTTTTGGATCATCAACTAATTTGGCAACACGTGCGATGGGAAATAAAATCGGTTGAACAAGAAAATAAAAGATTTGCAGCTTTGGATCATCAACTGGTCTGGCAACAAGTCCCTGAGCTTTTGATATCGTAAATATCAATTATAATGGGGCGAGTTGAAACAATTAGCACCAGTGGTCTAGTGGTAGAATAGTACCCTGCCACGGTACAGACCCGGGTTCGATTCCCGGCTGGTGCAATCGAGCTGTGAGGAAATTGGCTTTAGCGGTGGTTGGGTCCATCGCACTCTTCTGATTTCTCGGATTTGATAAAGCCTTGTTCTGAGCTCCTAATTTTTTTTTTTTTCTATATATGTACTGTATGAATAAAAACGTCTGCAACAAGAACCAAGTTTTAGGAATGGTGTAAGAATCAAGTTTTATCTGTCATATCTAGCTATATCAAGAGAAATTTGTTTATAGTTTAAGCATATCAAAACATATCACCGATTAGAGTTGACCTCTCTCACTCGCCACTGGCTTCGTCATCAAGAATGGGGATTTGAGTGAGGGGAAGAGATTTCTGGTAAATTCAACCATGGCCATGACCTGGCACTGGTCTCTGATAAGATGTCTTGACTCTCAGTATTAGGATTCTATCAGGAATACGTATATAAGGCAGTTAAGAGAATGTAAGGATAGGGTCACTTATCCACAAGAAAAGCATTGTTATTGGGGTGGCCGGAGCTGTGTCCACTGAATTGTATGATATTGTCAACCACAGCCTCATTTTCGAGGAGATGGACAAAAGGGAAACTAACGGTGAGCGAAGATGGATACACCATAGTGATCAAGAACGACGTGGATTCAAAGTGGATTGAAGAGCTTTCAAAACCTCTAAACCATGCAAAAAAGAAGAAGATTGAAAGGCTGACTGATTCCTCTCCAGGGCTTCTCACTAATCACGACTTCCCACCACTAAGGTGACCAGTCGAAGACACCCTTCGCCGCTGTGGAAAGGCAGTTCTTGACTAGTTGTGACCATTCAAGCTTTGTCAAGTCTTTTTATCAAAAAAAAAAAAAAAAATCTTTGTCAAGTCATGGACTTTGTCGGTATTCCATGAGAGACCCTTTTGCTTAATTTGGTTCTGTTTGTGTGTTTCTCCACGGATATATATATTCTGAAAATTTGGTCTGGTTTTCACGAAATAACTCTTTGCGTGATAAAAATATTTACAACGCTTATATCAGCTAGAGAGCACATGCTTTTTCTTAAGCCCTAAAACCTCTTTCTCAGCTTGTCATTGACTGTTACAAGTTCACACTTTAACGGCAACGCTGAGAAAACTTTTAGAGAAAACAGAGGCATAGAAGGTGAAACTACTAAATAGTTGTAGCAGAATCCAAAAGCCATAAGGTTCTCTGCCTGCAAAAACAGAGGCAACTTCAGAGTCTTAGGTTTTGGTATAGAGGTGTGGTGATTATGCAGACAGAGGAATACTTACGTCAGTTTTTTGAATGACGACAACGTTAGTTCTGTTTTTCGTTTCAAAACGCTTGAATCAATAATTATACTGTATTTTCTTATTTTTTGATTCAAATTTACAGAAGGGAAAGTTGTTAATTAGGGTTTCCAATCAGAGGTATTTGGGGGAAAATTTGATTAAGGAGGAGCACGTGATAGTGGCATGTGCTAATTACCGTCCCATAGGCTTATGCCCGATCTTTAATTGATCCCACATCGGATCGGATAATTAGTACCCGAGACTCGAGTATATATACCGTTGCTGATTATGGTAAGGATAACAACTCGTGGGACATGGTGAGTTGGGGTTATACGGTTTACTTAACCAAGAAACCCAAGTGATTACAGATCGGTCCATACTCCTTCTGGCAAAGGGTCTTAGGGGCAAGCTTGTCTCTCGATAAGTGGTCTTGGTCCATTTGTGTGCTCTGATTATCAAATCTGTGAAGATTGTGATAACTTGATGAACAAGTATACACATTTTGAACAAGAAACCCAAGTGATTACAGACCGGTCTATATTCCTTCTGGCAAAAGGTCCTAGGGGCAAGCTTGTTTCTCGACAAGTGGTCTCGGTCCATTCTCGTGGACACATCGAGCGGTTGTATGATTCGATGAATGCCACTTTTTATGTACTCATTATCGACGCTGTGAAGATTGTGATAATTTGATAAACAAGTAGACACATTTTGAACAAGCTTAGGACCACAAGAAGTCTAACCAAGATGGTTATTTATTTAATCATGGTTGAGTTGCTTTTGGGACTACGTTGCCGTTGGTAACGGCTCGTAGAAGTTGATCAAGCTGCAACCTTATCTCCTCGTCAAGGACATTTTGTTTGCTTGTGCTCAAAATGGGAAAGTTACGTTTGGCAGATAACAACTCGTGGAACATGGTGACTTGGAGCTATACGGTTTGCTTAACCAAGAAACCCAAGTGATTACAGATCGGTCCATACTCTTTCTGGCAAAAGGTCTGAGGGGCAAGCTTGTCTCTTGACAAGTGGTCTCGGTCCATTTGTGTGCTCTGATTATCGACGTTGTGAAGATTGTGATAACTTGATGAACAAGTAGACACATTTTGAACAAGAAACCCAAGTGATTACAGACTGGTCCATACTCCTGGTAAAGGGTCCTAGGGGCAAGCTTGTCTCTTGACAAATGGTCTCGGTCCATTCTCATGGACACTTCGAGCGATTGTATAATCCCATGAGTGTCACTTTTTGTGTGCTCATTATCGACGCTATGAAGATTGTGATAACTTGATGAACAAGTTGACACATTTTGAACAAGCTTAGGACCACAAGAAGTCTAACCAAGATGGTTATTTATTTAATCATGGTTGAGTTGCTTTTGGGACCACGTTGCCGTTGGTAACGGCTCGTAGAAGTTGATCAAGCTGCAATTATCTCCTCGTCAAGGACATTTTGTTTGCTTGTGCTCAAAATGGGAAAGTCACGTTTGGCAGAAGCAATCACACCTCAAGGAGACATTTTGGCGTTTGAAGTGTGTTAGTTGCGGTTTGTCTTTGCACAAGAAACCCTAAGGTGCTTTGAGTATAAAAGGGTATCATGTTGGAGAGAGAGAGCTAAGGGAAGGGAGATGATACAAAATGTAGCCGAAAGTGAGAGTAGAGAGAATACAGTTTAGTTTAAGCTTTGTCTTCGTTTTCTCTAATTACATGAGATAGAACAGAGTGAGTTCTAAGTAGCTAGTGAAGAGCTTTAGATCGGGTTACATGTTTATCTCTGTATTTGTAATCTCTCAAAGAAGCTAGTGGATTCCGAGCAAAGCTCGGGGAGATGTAGAGACCCTCGTTAATGGGCGTGAACTCCTTAAATATTGTGTGTGCTCCCTCCTTCTTCTTCCCTTCTTCTCTCCTTTCTCTCATACTCTGTTTTTCCTGCAACTTCTCTGTTTTGGCCTCTGTTTTTATTCTTCAAGCTACTTCATATCTTGGTCTGAATGTGGTTTATGCTCTTTAAGGAGACACCTTTTGAGCCACTAAATCCTAACAGATTGGTATCAGAGCCTAGGTTCTGTGTTTTTTCTGGTTCTCTCAAGCCAAGAATCAGGTCATTGGCAAGTGTTAAAGTGGAAGAGTTTGTTGGCCAAGGAGGATGTGTTTCTTGGAAGGAGAAGCTCGTGGCAGTGAAGCTGTAAAGGGTGACTGAGTTTTCAGGAAGTGAAGTCTCAGATCCAGGAGTTTCAGAAGAAGAGAGAGTCAATGTAGACTCAGATCAAAGAGAGAAAAGGTCTGGAGAAAGAAGAAGAGTGAAGAAAAGTGAAGAAAGATTGGATTTTTGGAAGGTTTAAGCAGCAAGGCTTTTCCCTTAAGTATCCACATTCCTTTTCTTTGAAGAGCTTGGTTGTGTAGAGGCAAGCAATGTCTTAAGTATCACAACAAGTCAGTAGCTCTTGGTAAATGGTGCTGAAGAGAGGGAGAAGCCGTGAGACTCTTTCTTGGTAGAGCATCATTGAGTTTTCTCAGGTTTTGAGGAAGTTTGTGGAGACATGAATGTCTCAGGCTGAAAGCCAAGCTTTGTTTCTTGGTGAACAGCAGGAATATGAGAGGAAGGATTTGTAAAACTCATTCTGGTGAAGCATGAATCATCTTGTTCACAGCATCTCAAAGGTCAAGAAGAGCAAAGCAGTTTGCAGGTTTTCTGTTGCAGTTGCAGGTTTTCTGTTCTAGTGACAGTGTTAGTAACATAGAGCAACAGAAGAAGCAAAAGAAGAAAGCTTTGGCAGAAGGTTCTTGAGATGCTTAGAGGGTTGAAAAACGTGTCTAGCTCAGTTATGGTGTTTAACTGAGTGTGAAAGTGAGATGTGAAGAAGCTGTATCTTAAGGAGAGATTCAAAGGATAATCTGGAATCAAGGGTAGTGGTTTCATGGGTTTATGAAATCAAGTTTCCTTTAAGATACAAGAATCTGCAACATAGTGAGAGAGAAATCTGGTTACTCACAAGTTTAAGTGTTGCAAGTACAAGAAGGAAATTCAGAGACAGAAGCAAGAAGCATATGATTGAAGATGGTGTTCTTGATCATTGCTGAAGAAGCAAATCAAAGATTGGTGTTAGCTGAAGGTCTTTCACAAGTATCAGCTGGTTTGTGATTCTGAAAAGCAAGAGTTTAAGTTCAGTGACTCAAGCTATTTACCAGGATCTCAACATCAACTTCAAGACTCAAGCTATGGGAAATTCCGCTGCAGTCACAA